CCTTGTGGTTATCAGCATATATATATATACATATACGACCAACTTGACTTACGACCGCCCCAGTCGTACCAAAATAATTTCAAATTACGTATTTTCGAGTCTTGACGTTAGTGATTGCCCTGTGTACTGACAACATTTTCGTTTGTAATTCACTTTAAAATGGCTGGCAAGCTTAAAAGTGAGAGTTTTGTGGTACTGAGAAGAAAGAGAGACACCCATTTTAGATTTTCTATGTTTTATTTAAGCATTTTCGACTTAAGACCTGGTTTTGGGTCCCTAACCCCATCTTAAGTCGAGTAGTGGTTGTGTGTGTATGTATATATATATATATATATATATATATATATATATATATATATATATATATATATATATATATATATATATATATATATATATATATATATATATATATATATATATATATATATATATATATATATATATATATATATATATATATATATATATATATATATATATATATATATATATATATATATATTCCTGGTGGGAATTATTAGCTAGTAGTACTCAAAATATCGAAACTTCGAGATCTCTCCAGAGCTTCAAAAAGGTGGTATTCCTGAAACAAGATCAGGGCAAGAAGGTCATCGTGAATGGCGTCGTACACCCCATGACTGTTCTTGAATACGGCCCTACCACTGATGATGGCCACCGCCCCTACAGCTGACTACCACTGATGATGGCCACCGCCCCTACAGCTAACTACCACTGATGATGGCCACCGCCCCTACAGCTAACTACCACTGACGATGGCCACCATCCCTACAGCTAACTACCATGGCCACAGTCCCTACAGCTAACTACCATGGTCACAGTCCCTATAGCTAACTACCATGGTCACAGTCCCTACAGCTAACTACCATGGCCACAGTCCCTACAGCTAACTACCATGGTCACAATAGCCACCATACAGGCTAACTACCATGGCCACCATCCCTACAGCTAACTACCATGGCCACAGTCCCTACAGCTAACTACCATGGTCACAGTCCCTATAGCTAACTACCATGGTCACAGTCCCTACAGCTAACTACCATGGCCACAGTCCCTACAGCTAACTACCATGGTCACAGTCCCTATAGCTAACTACCATGGTCACAGTCCCTACAGCTAACTACCATGGCCACCAACTAAGGACTATGTAAACTTGATCAAAATGTTGTCAACCTACTGTACTTTATCATGGGTCTTACAGCTGAATATTTTATCCTTTAATTAATGTTCTATGAAATACTATCATCACTGATTGTCTTCTAATTAGCTCATTTGTGTTATGATGATGTGCTCAACTGATGCTTCTAATCTTCACTATTTTCCTACACCATTATCTTCCTATTAGAACACCTACTCTTAGTCTCTAACTCATCTCCGTGCTGTTAAATAACATGGCTACTGTAGTCTCCTAAATGAATGGCCCTCTTAGACTGGGGTATCAAACACCACTTAAACAAGAGGTGAGCTATTTTGTTAACCCAAATTAACATACAACTATGTTACAGCATCCATTAGAATATTCATATATGTGTCAGTAGGATTACAAATACTTTTTCTCACCCCATTACCACATTCTTATACCCAAAGTTACTTATGAAAGTGAATTTACACCTGTTGTGTCTTAACAACAGGTGTAAAGCTTTGGTCCCTGACATAACCTTTGTGTTGCAGTCTACCTTCAATAAATGTTTCGACTTTCTGCTGTACAGTACAGTCAATAAGAATCCCTGTATGTATTGTTTTCTTTACAGAAACTTTTTACTTATATCAATGTTCTTGATGACTAACAATAATTTGTATAAACAACTTGATGGCAACTAATACAACTTGGAGTACTTAACATCAATGTCAATTTTGTGTACCGGGTAGGTTCATTTTTTCAACTCAAAATCTTTAACAATCAGCCGAGTAAAATATGCAGCAAATTCATACGCAAACAAAATTTAATTTTAGTAAACAGAGGAGTGTGTGTGTATATATGTGTATATATATATGTATATATATATGTATATATATATATATATATATATATATATATATATATATATATATATATATATATATATATATATACACACATGTTATATATACAATATAGATTATAGATATATATATATAGTTAACCAAAATTTTAACGAAACCATTGTTTCAATGGGATTTTGGGTAATGGTTCCAGCTCACCGAAAATTATATACAAAGTAAAAAAAATGCAGTAAAGTACACTTACTTTGAGGTGAGTATGTAGAAGGTTCCTGGTTGATGATGATGATGGGAGATGGGGTGGAGGAGAAGGGAGAAGAAGGAAGTGGGGAGTGGAGGAGGAAAGAGGAAAAGGAGAAGAGAGGAAGTGGGGGTGGAGGAGAAAGGGAGAGAAAGAAGGGTGGAGGAGGGAGAAGAAGGAGGGGTGGAGGAGAAGGGAGAAAGAGAAAGAAGGAAGTGGGGGTGGAGGAGAAGGGAGAAAGAGAAGGAAGAGTGGGGGTGGAGGAGAGGAGAGAGGTGGGGTGGAAGAAGGGGAGAAGGAAGTGGGGGTGGAGGAGAAGGGAGAAGAGAAAGGAAGTGGGGGTGGAGGGAAGGAGAAGAAAGGAAGTGGGGTGGAGGAGGGAGGAAGGAAGTGGGGGTGGAATAGGGAAGAGAAGGGAAAGAAGGGGGTGGAGGAGGTGGGAAAGAGAGAAGGAGAAGGAGTGGGGGTGGGAGAAGAGAAGAGAAGGAAGTGGGGGTGGAGGAGAAGGGAAGAAGAGAAGGAAGTGGGGGTGGAGGAGAAGGAGGAGAAGGAGAAGAAGGAAAGAGGAAGGGGGTGGAGGAGAAGAGGAGAAGAAGGAAAAGGAAGGGGTGGGAGGAGAAGGGAGAAGAAGAGGAAGTGGAGGAGAAGGGAGAAGAGGGAAGTGGGGGAGGAGGAGAAGGAGAGAAGAGAAGGAAGTGGGGTGGAGGAGAAGGGAGAAGAGAAGAAGGAAGTGGGGGTGGAGAAGGAGAGAAGAGAAGGAAGTGGGGTGGAGGAGAAGGGAGAAGAGAAGAAGAGGGGGTGGGAGGTGGGGGGTGGAAGAGAAGGGAGAAGAGAAGGAAGTGGGGTGGAGGAGAAGGGAGAAGAGAGAAGAGGAGAAGGGAGAAGAGAAGGAAGTGGGGGTGGGGGAGAAAGGGAGAAGAGAAGGAAGTGGGAGGGAGGAGAAGGGAGAGAGAGAAGGAAGTGGGGTGGAAGAGAAGGAGAAGAGAAGGAAGTGGGGGTGGAGGAGAAGAGAAGAGAAGGAAGGGTGGAGGAGAAGGAAGGAAGGAGAGTGGGGGTGGAAGAGAAGGAGAAGAGAAGAGAGGAGAAGGGAGAGAGAGGGGGGGTGGAGGAGAAGGGAGAAGAGAAGGAAGTGGGGGTGGAGGAGAAGGGAGAAGAGAAGGAAGTGGGGGTGGAGGAGAAGGGAGAAGAGAAGGAAGTGGGGGTGGAGGAGAAATCACCCCATGCTTGATGCCGTCATTTCACCCATAAAATTTTAAGTTCACTTGGTGTAATTCAAGATTAAAGATTATTTTCTTTAAATCAACACTGCACTGCACTATATATTGTCAATATGTTAAATAAATTTCAGAATGACCAATAATTGTACTGTAAAAATGTAAAAATACTCTGTGTTCAAGAGAGCCACAAGCAAGATGTTTCCTCCACTGAACAGAGACACAAACTGAGGCCTTGGTGGGTGAGTTAAGTGGCTGATGGGCACACCAAAAACTAGTTCCCTGTACTGCAATTATGTGAAATAAGTGTTAAAATTACTAAAAATTTTAATATAAAACTTGGAAAATTATTGAATAGTACAACCTTCTTGATATTTACTCCAATTTTAACGAATGTAAGCCCTAGAACCGATTTCTGTATTGGCGGACTAATCTTCCAGCTGGTGAGCAAGCCAAAGCATGTCGAAACATTTTTGTAAGAATTTCGTTAACCAAATTTTTGTTTGCTAACCGAAATGAAGATTCTTATGGAAGGTAATTCGTTAACCGAGGCATTCATTAACCGAGGGATCACTGTATATACAAATAAATCACTGTAGGTGTACAATATGAAAGCAAGCAACATACACGAAGGCATTATAAAACTATGCTTCATGTTATCAGAAGAGAAACCCATCTGAGAGTTTTTCTATACTGTACACACTGTTGCCCATCACACAGTTCTGGGGCCATGATATACTCCCATCAACAGTTGGACTGGAACAACAATAATAATGACTTGTTGACACATTATGAGGGAAAAACTACTTGACACAATCCTACACCATTATGACCTCAGTCTCTACTTATTGCACCTCAAGTGAGCCACAATGTTGCTGGCACCCTTAACTCTTATCTTTGAAACTCTTAAGTATGTATGGGTGCCAGTAGTATACCATATAAATAAACTTGTAATAAAAATTAAGCACAAAAAAGCTACCTGCTCCATACCTCATCTTGGTATAAGTTCTGAAAAGAAGACGAATCAAGAGGAATTAATGCTCTTTACATCATGTGGTCATGAAGAGAAATGATCATCTACACTGTATAAATATTTTACTCTTTTTTACATGTAATAAATGTGAAAGTTTCAAGTTATGGAAGGTTTTCACAAAAAATTCTCCTTAAGCAACATTCAAAGCCTGAAGAATATTTAATTTTTTTGTAATGATCATGATGTATGCCTTTATTGTATTCACTGGACCATAATAATCAGCTGGTAAAGGGTAAGGTGCTTTGACTAGATATAATTGTGTCTCAGACTTAAAAAAGTAAACGGACTTCTGGAAAAAAGAGCGAGAGGTGCAATGATAAGCCGAACACACTGGTGAGGGTTGTCACGTGGAACCGCACAATAAGAGCATTATGAGTATCACATAAATAAAGACTGAACAACATGGAGAGCTATACTGTACAGTACAACATGGGAGAGGGATGGGGACCACAACAGCCATGGTGGGTGGGTGGGTGCAACAATTAGCGCAGCCGGGTGCTGTTAGTCTCACCTGCAGTAGTAGTGGTCGCCTGAGTGGCTGTGGCGGCAGCATTGGGCCATGAGGGCCGGATGGACCATGGGGGCCATGGGGGCCATGAGGGCCGGGTGGACCCATGGACGGTGGCCCTGTGGGCAGGTGTGGGTGGCCCCCGGGGGGACCATGACCCATGTGTGGAGGTAGGCGAGGCCCACCCATCACCACTGAGGGTCCTGGACCCATCATGGCTGGGTGGTGTGGGCCGGGCCGCATCATGGGTGGCGGTGGTGGCCCCCCGACCCCCATGGGGGAGCCCACACTGCCTGCCATGGGTCCCCTCACCATCAAACCCTCACTCACCATCACCTGGGAGGTAACCCACCACCATTACCACCACCTTCACCACCACCACTGTCAACTGCCAGACCCACACAGTAAACCAACTTCTACACAATAGACAGACTTTCTCACTGTGATTTTTGATCAAGTATGAATGATGTTTCAGTAAGTCTTGGAAACAAAGATTACATCACTTGGAAAAAATTGGAATGAAGTTATTTTCTGTGTGTCTGAAAGTAGAATACTCAAAACTACTGCAGTCCTTACATATCCTGGTTAATAAGAACACTACACAATCATGCCTTAGTATCATCTAATACTGTTAATCTTTATAGACTGAGTAAATGCATTATCACAAAGCATAATTCATAGTAAAGAGGTTACTTAACTGCTAGGAGTAAAGGATCTTAATACATTATAGCATGGCATTCCTACAACTTAAGAAAAAGGGGCTCAAAAACCTGAGAAAAGATATACAGGACCATAGTAGCCACACATGTTTCCAACAATCTTAAGTCATCATATACTGTACTGAAGAAGGGGACTTGAGCGTCCCTCGCACAGTCTTAATGAAGTTTCCACAATACAGCTAAAATGCATTTATGTAACAACGGCAGTCAGAAGAAACAGATACTTTTATCAAGTCTTATTTATGCAATCAATCCTCTCACTGTTATTAGTATCTTCATATTTGGTGAAATTTTAATTCTAATCATTTTGTGGAATCCTTAATTCATACTTCCCAAAATCTTAGAAATAAGTATATAAGTATTTTAAAAGTTCAATTATCTAAATGAGGATGAAATCAGATTTTGGTACAGATTAGATGTATGTGCAAACTCTTATAGTAGTATATATGACAAAATTATCATATACTGTATCTTATTAATCTCTCTGTTCATAATATTTCTACCAAGACTACACATCTTATATAATGTAAGGAATATACACGGCACCAAGATTATAATTTATCTTCCCATCCTTGAAGACTAAACATTCCTCTATTATATCTGTGTACAGTATCTTGTACTATGGTCTGACAGGTAATGTTGGTGTAGGGGAATTCTTGCCTTAATGAGTGGTCCAGCATGGCATGTGGTGGGAATCTGTCATATTGAGTGTGTCTGGTACTTAAAAGGTCACTTTGGCTTGATGTAAGTGGCATGGCAGGGAACTAGTCTCATGTGGTGTTGTACACAGTGTGCAGGAGGTACTGTATATAAGGTTATCTTGACTGTCAGGTCTAACAACACATCAGAGGGACTGTGAACACTTCCACAGGGGAACTAAATTAGTGACAAAGGATACCCTTGTTGTCATGACTAAAGAAATACTGGCAACAATGTACAACCCAGTGGCATGATGAGTGAACAATTTATAGGGGCATCAAGAGACAAACCTCAGAGCTATGATTAATATAAGAGACAAGAATTTATACTATCATTCAGAAGACTTTGGAGAAGGGTCTTTGGAGAAGACTTTGGAGAAGACTTTGGAGAAGGGTCTTTGGGATTTTACAGTATTTTATATTGTGATACTGAACTATGGTGCACATTACAAACTATGAACACTCACACACTGGTGGAATACATTTTTTTTATACCAAAATGTCAAAATGAATAATCAAAATTTATAGTGTGGAAAAACACACACACACAGCTTTGTCACACAAGTCCTACATATATGGTGGCATTATGGTGCAACTTCAAGTGGGTGAGCACTTCACAAGAGAAAAAACAAGAGTGATTGCATGACTGCTACATTACTGTTGATTGGGTTAATCCGACTGTGGTTCAATGTAGCTCACATAATGTAGGCAACACTATTATAATAAATGTCCATAAACTAAATATGATATCAAAGTATAGCACAAAGTCCTTCAATTTACATAAGAGTTACTCAAGAGGTGTTCAACTGCAGGTCATCTCAACTGAACAGAATACCATAAAGGTTAAGAGACATCTTTGAGACATTTCATAGCCAGTTTTTAAGAAGATGTGGCATACACGATATATTTTCCAGGCAAATGAGCCCATTACTACTAGACCCAAGACGAAAGGCAACATTGAGAAGCAGAGCATTCTTAATTGCTTGTGTTTATCAAGACCAGCTGAGAGCATAATTCTGTGTTAACTGTCATCTTATCCTCTACACATAGAGATGTTTAGCTAGTTTGTCACAACACACACACACTCATACATAACCTGTGTCAGTAGCATCCATAAACCATCTCACTCTCTGTGGATAATGTTAGAGTCATACAACAGGCTGCACCACACACTCACTCTTTACAATAACAAAACACATTTATTCTTCACCTGATAAAAACTCCTCAGTTAAGTGCCAGGCATTCCAAACAATTAGTTTGAATATCAGCTCAACTAACAGACAGTTCCATATAATAATGTGAACCACTTAATGCCTCTCACATTTCCCAATATAAATGCTTCTTTATCCTATGCTAAACTTAACTGGATTTTGTGGCTAAGTGTTCCATAGCTGTCTCAATCAACACAAACAAGGGTGTGGGGTTAATATAAAAAAGTGAATCACTTACTAGAGTCTACCGTCCATCAAGCTATCTTCCTCAGCATCATCATCCCAGTAATAATATAAAAAGAAGAGGGTATACCAAAAGTCAACCACAACACCATAACTCTCTGCTGATGCAAAACACATTGAGACTTATTACCATATCAAAAGATTTAACTTTAAAGGATTCACCATGGATTTTCTTTAGTATACATGTATAGGTAGATGAAAGTGTGCCAGTCCTTGGGCATGCAGAGAACACCATCCCACCCTCACTGGCGAGAAGTGAAGCCTCGCGATAGCAAATGGTGTTTTACACATAAAAAGCATTATGATAAAAACAAAATACCATCCATTTAACCACAAACAAACAGCAGAAGCTATATATTTCTCACCACTTATGAGGCTAATGTTTATACAGTACTGTCTCTCATGATGCAGAGTAACTCATCCAGGTGTACACATGGGGCACGAGAGAAGTACATTACCATAACAGTTACAACCCTTGTCTGTGGTTCACCTCAAACTCCTAAGCAGCTCACAAAATTATACGATTTCTGTTTTTTTTCTTGTGCTGTGTTAACAACAGTGGTGTTCCTCTCTCCTACTCTTGCTAGCTCTTTCTGTAAGGAATTGTCAACACACACACACACACACACACACACACACACACACACACACACACACACACACACACACACACACACACACACACACACACACACACACACACACACACACACACACACACACACACACACACACACACACACACACACACACACACACACACACACACACACACACACACACACACACACACACACACACACACACACACACACACACACACACACACACACACACACACACACACACACACACACACACACACACACACACACACACACACACACACACACACACACACACACACACACACACACACACACACACACACACACACACACACACACACACACACACACACACACACACACACACACACACACACACACACACACACACACACACACACACACACACACACACACACACACACACACACACACACACACACACACACACACACACACACACACACACACACACACACACACACACACACACACACACACACACACACACACACACACACACACACACACACACACACACACACACACACACACACACACACACACACACACACACACACACACACACACACACACACACACACACACACACACACACACACACACACACACACACACACACACACACACACACACACACACACACACACACACACACACACACACACACACACACACACACACACACACACACACACACACACACACACACACACACACACACACACACACACACACACACACACACACACACACACACACACACACACACACACACACACACACACACACACACACACACACACACACACACACACACACACACACACACACACACACACACACACACACACACACACACACACACACACACACACACACACACACACACACACACACACACACACACACACACACACACACACACACACACACACACACACACACACACACACACACACACACACACACACACACACACACACACACACACACACACACACACACACACACACACACACACACACACACACACACACACACACACACACACACACACACACACACACACACACACACACACACACACACACACACACACACACACACACACACACACACACACACACACACACACACACACACACACACACACACACACACACACACACACACACACACACACACACACACACACACACACACACACACACACACACACACACACACACACACACACACACACACACACACACACACACACACACACACACACACACACACACACACACACACACACACACACACACACACACACACACACACACACACACACACACACACACACACACACACACACACACACACACACACACACACACACACACACACACACACACACACACACACACACACACACACACACACACACACACACACACACACACACACACACACACACACACACACACACACACACACACACACACACACACACACACACACACACACACACACACACACACACACACACACACACACACACACACACACACACACACACACACACACACACACACACACACACACACACACACACACACACACACACACACACACACACACACACACACACACACACACACACACACACACACACACACACACACACACACACACACACACACACACACACACACACACACACACACACACACACACACACACACACACACACACACACACACACACACACACACACACACACACACACACACACACACACACACACACACACACACACACACACACACACACACACACACACACACACACACACACACACACACACACACACACACACACACACACACACACACACACACACACACACACACACACACACACACACACACACACACACACACACACACACACACACACACACACACACACACACACAATAATTACTGACATTATTAAAGTCATCCCTAAGACAAGGGTGTTTAGAGGACCTACTGGGACCTCTCTCATTTCTTGCATCACAATATGAGCACATTTATATAACCACAGTTTCATTCCTTGCTCAGTGTACAGGAAGCCACCTCTCATTTTCTGTGTATCACCTTCTACTAAACCCCTGAGTGCAGTGTGAAAGTTGTACAAATGAACCCTGTAGATAACATTAAATGTACGTGTACGTATAACTGAAGAGACACTTCCCTTCCTCATTCCCCCACAGGATATGAACTAGATATCACAGAAATATCCCTTGGATATAGGAAATAGCAGGTTACACTTCGCAAAAATGAACATGTTCTCTCTAACAACTAATACTGTTATTTAGTCCAAACTTGCACATAAGAAACTGCATGATGCCCTGTAACCCATCAAGGAGTAATGTTTCAGGTAACATTTAAACCCATTACTTATTTCTTCAGCACCTGATTATTATTATTACACATCAGATTTTGCCACTAAAGCTTAAATCCACTCTGTAAAATACAAAAAAGCACAACAAACAAATCCTCATGCAGATAAGGGCAGTTTTAGATAAACAGGCTCCGATAATAGAGACAAGGGCAAACAAGAAAAATGATGAAAAGAATAACCATCCCTGCACCAGGCAACATCCTGCCAACCACAACAAGGAAAGCTTCTCAAGGCCTCATCATGCCAAATTTATTTTACCTGGGATCTAGGGTAAGGAGGAGGAGGGTGGCCAGGCACGGCGGTGGCGGAGCTACGGACGGAGCATTCCTGCCCTGGCCGAGCATTCTTAGTCACCCAATACCCTGAAAACACCAATCTTAAATAATAAGGCTGCCCATAAACATTGTTTTTTTTTTCATAACCATAAGACATTTCTGACAAACGCACTTACGACAAAATTCTATCAGTGTCCGAACACATGCATAGATCCTCGGGCCGACACTTACTTGGGGTAGCTTGAGTCATGTGTGGTGCCATTTGTGGCTGAGCCGGTTGTTGTTGAGGAGATGAGCTCATGGTCAAACGAACTGGGCCCATTATTACCCAGGCGGAGGTCCAGCGGGGGGTCCCGACGAGGGGCCCATCGGAACCATGGTAGTAAGCGAAGGCATACTTGAACATTCACTGTTATTGACTGGACTTGGGCCAGATGGAGTCATGCTTCTACGCTACTGACGCCTTGGTGCTGTACTGCACACCTCTGCCCAAAGCGTCTTTGCTGCATTAAGTGGCAGCGAAGGATGGGTGAGGCTGCTGTGCTCGAGGTCCACCGTCTAAGGTCACATTACTAACAGGGGGGTTCACAGGTCCTTGGCCAGGTGCCATGGTAGGTCGCTGGTGGGAGTGAGGACCAGAGGATGGTGGACCTACGGGTATCTCACCTGACACCATAATCCTATCTCTCTGTTGACCTCGGGGTCCTGCCATCTCTCTGTATCTTTCTCTTCTCCGCCTGTAGGAATAAATTCGCTTGAATGTGGCGAGTCATTATATAAATATCACAACACCTCTGTTTATCAAGACTGAGAGCAGTTATTTAAATGATAACACAACTTTCTACATTTCTACCATTCCCCAAGTGTGACTTATAGGGCAGGGTTCAAACACATAACAATTTCAAACAGTGGAATGAAAAAAATTCTACATTTCTACATCATTCCATCTCAGATTATAAATTTTAACATTATCAAGAGTAAATAAATCAAGAACTGAGTGTGTTTCACCAGAATATACTGCGCAAGGTAACTACATATAAAAAGACCCCAAATTTTCAACTTAAAATTTATATTTTTGCCTTTACAGCACAGGACCCTGCCAGAGAAGACGCACTACCAATCAGAGACCACCAACTGCACGTAAGCAACGCAGCTTAAACTCTTAAGCAAATGTTAATAACAAGCAATACTTATCATTTGAGGTGTTCTGTGGAACAATGACTACTCCGCCATGAGAGATTTCTGGGTAACCAGACGACTTTCTCAAACCCGGAAAAATTCCTCATCCCAGAATCTTTCCGTTACTGGGAAAAGTTTCCGATTGTCTAAACTAGACATCTTGCACACTCAGACACTAGCCCACTTCCCCCAGAACATTTCTGCGTTGGGGACGCTTTCCTGAGTCTAAACTAACGGAGTCTGTAAATAAGTTCTAATTAAAGAAACCCATTTCTTTTACCATAACCAGAAAGCTTATCTAAAAGTTTGCTAACAAATGTATCTGAAAACCAAAAATCTATAAGATAAAGGCGGAATGAAGTTGTGTGTTACAGCAAAGAGGGGTATTTCACCACATGGAGCCATGTGGGGATTAGTGAGTCTCATAATACTGACCTTCTGATGGAATGTCAGGTCAAATTTCTTGGGTGGGATTAGTGGGTCTCTGGCCTGAAGATGTCTTGAATAAAAAACAAAATTTGAAATATTTTAAGGAGATTGTGATAAGTATAATGAGCAGAGTTGTAACCCTTCAACATTAAAAGCAATAATATTATAAAATATGGGAGCAGAAGAAAGGTGTGGGTAATTAGAGATAAAGGAAAGAGTGTCAAGCGCCCCTCATAGACCGGAGCCCAGAGGGTTTTATTCATGCAAAAAGACGCCAAAAATGTTTGGTCCCATTCAGAAGGCCCTCACCCGACATTCTAAAAATGGATTGCTGCTGGTCTGGGATGTGGCTTTACCCCTGAAAGTGATAAAAGTGGCATATTTAATGGAAAAGCACCAAGGATAAAAATCAAAGTGTCAAACCTTTCCTTGTGGTCCACTGAGTGTGAAATAACCAATGGCAGCAATTTTACCAGTGGCTTTCCCCCGCCAGTAACACCCAATCTTGCACTATCCCTTAATTTCAATGACAACTAATGACTACTGAATAAGTCACCCAATGAACCTGACTCCCCAGTACATTTTCAGTGAAAACGTCTGTTTACATTTTTTTGAGGAAGGCCTATGTATCAATAAAACTAAAGGAAATAACTCAATAAAGGCACACTGGTCTGAATTATTTACTTATAGAGAAGTTTCACTCATTGGATTTGGGGCCATCCAAAATACAAGAAAAATATAAACAATAGATATAAATCTTTACATTTTTCTTATATCTCAGTGTGCACCTGGGACAACTATGATGTCAACACTGGAACACACTGCACTCAATGGTGGGAATTTGCGAACAGAATGAAGTTACACCAGAGAACGGGCCCAGTTTAAGCTGACCCCAACCACTGATGTGATAGAGATTGCTTATCTCCATCCAAAGGGCCTCAATTACATATGGCTGCTTCAGCCCCTTTACCCAGAAGGCCAATCTTCACTTTCTCATTTTCCAGTTCAGGCAGATGATCTTCCTCAAACTGTGATCACATACATGGACCCTATCTCCCCAGCCACACCAATGAAGAACGAGGGTACAGGGAACTATGGTGCGTTTCACTCAAAAGTGGCAGAGGAAACAAAACTAGAAATATGGCATCATAACATATGATCTCCAGTGTAGCCCTAGTGTATACCCCATTCAAGCTCTATAAACTCCAGCTTTAGATAAACCCATCATATTATGGGAAATTCCATCTTGGAGCGAGCCGTGTCGTGGTCATTTCCCTGGCTGACTCCAGGATTGAGTACCTTCTCACTGATGCAGTATCTTGCCGAGGGGTCATTTACTTGATTCAAGGAAGGTAAATTTTACAACATATGTACCAAATCCACCAAATTATTACGGTGATGGAACGAGATCTTCTAAGTTCCTTCATTCAATAACAGATGAGGAGGTAACGCTATAATAAGAAATGAGGTCCAACAGTAATTTAATCACAAATATTGTGAAACTGTTGTTGAGAATCTCTAATCTAGAATCTCAAGAACAGATATGAAGGCTTCTCCACCATGTCATCAACAGACAGTATGAAAGAACAAATAGCCATTGGCCTGCTATATATAATTCTCATTAACAGGGTGTATCGAGAGGTGTACACAATCAACAACAATGCTGGACTACTACATCCATACTCCTCCAAGTGTGATTGAAGTGGCATTTCACTTTGAACTGCCCTAAGAAGTTCTCTCTTTCTCCACAAACTCAGATAAATTTATCCCCATACCCGCTAGATTCTGCAAGCTGGTGCACTCTCCATTTGAAGAACAAGTAAATCCTATGCAAGATACGCAGCTGACTTAGACCTTAGATAAACAGAAACTGTGAGTGCCTTCAGAAGGTGGTCAGTCACTCTCAATCATGGTCCTGTCAGAGCTCCATCAAATGGTTGGTCTCCAAGTTGGAGAGGAACCAACAAATCAGCTAAATAAATGGAAAATTCAGCGTGACAATGCTGACATGGATGCCCTTGCCAAGAGCTTCAGCTGTTCTTGCAACCCATTTGCACCAGATTCTCCAGCTTCCCTTATTCATGTGTCATCACTTGGGAAAGCAAAGGACTTAAGCAGATAAATCTCTTCTTGACACATCGGTATGTGTGAAACTTTGACTAAAATTTGAAGGTGAATGTGCACTCGATAGTACACGATTTCTTGAGTATAGTGCCAAGAATCAAGAAGCTGAATTTTGCTGCAGAGAATGTAAATGAGACAAAATCTACATTCCAGAGAGAAAATACAGCTAAAGGAATAAGGGACATCTTTGGAAGAATCTTGGTTGTTGCAACAAAGACATGAGACACAGTTAACTTGCAAATATATATTGAGTTATCCTATTACTGCAGTTTTCTTATTCAAAGTGATGAACCTCTTACACAGATAAAGCTAACCTCACAAAAACTCTTGAAAGTAAACAACAAGTTGTACCTATGGATAGTGATCTTCCCCCAATCAAGGCCACTATAACTGACGGTGGCAACGCCCCTCCATGAAATTATCTTGAAACACAGCGAGTCCACATATGACACTAAGGCCAGGGATCTTCTGATAAAGGTATGTGGGAGACTCAGATCCACGTGGTATTTGACAAGTACCGGTCCCCATCCATTAAAGATTATGAGTGAAGTATGCGTGGTTCAGGTATTCATCATGTATTTGTCATTACTGGGCTGGACCAGGTCCAGAGACAAGGTGGAATGGAGATCCTCAAAAATGGTGCATTTAAGGAAGAGTTTGCCCATTTCCTTATGGAGGAGTGGAAGAAGCCCCAATATGGGCTAATCATTAACAGAAAAACCATGTACATCTCACATGGTGGAAAGTGCACGGAGATGAAAAACAGTGAGGAAGAAAATGACAAACCCTGGAACCCAATCATCTCCAAGGTCAGCACGAGGAGGCAGACACAGAGAACACTGTTACAGGAAATATACTGGTGAGATCTACTGACACAGACGTCCTCATCATTCTTCTTGGGTTAGTCGGAAGGATGGAATGACTCAGTATCATCAAGGACTACGGGTCGGCCAACCTCCGCAAGGTTACCAGTCTCGAGGAAAAGCATTTGACTCCACTGGAAGCACTGTTGGGGCTTCAGGCCACCACAGATTGTGATTTTTACAACCATGCTTTTTCATAGAAGGGCAAAGTGAAGCCCTTTGAGCAGTTTGAAGCAGAGGGAGCTCAGTCATGTGATTTGCATTGTGATCTCTTAAGTCTGAGAAAGTTTATGTTCAAGGTGTTACTAGCTTTGTCTGCTCACTGTATGGGTTAAAAACTTCCAATATAAATGAGGCAAGATACAAGGCCTTCCTACACATGAGTGGTGGTAATGAGAAGGAACCTCTGGTCAGAGTCAAGAAGATCAACTGTGCCTCTTTACCCCAGTGCACTAAGACACTTGGTAATCAACTCAAAAGAGCCTCCTATTGGTGACAAGGCCTTGGAAAAGGGCTGATCAAACTGATCCAACTGGTAAAGTGAGGACAGCAATGTACTCAAGAGAACATCCAATTGCGGTGTACATTTTTATTTATGTACAGTACAGTACCATGATAATTATATTATATTGTTCAACGCCTCAGTGAGCTTCAGCAGTACTGTCAGAGCAGGCCACACAAGGAGCAGTTCAAGTATTATTTCATGTGTTCATATTAACACGAAAGTATATTTTTGAATCGATATTAATGTATTTCTCAATATGGGCTTTCAAATAAGGTCTGTCATCATGGATAAGCGTTAGAATACAAATAACTAAAGAGGCCCAAGGTGTGAATGGAGGGGGAAAGCCACACCTAAAATTGCTGCCATTGGTTATTTCACACTCAGTGGACCACAAGGAAAGGTTTGACACTGATTTTATCCTTGGTGCTTTTCCATTAAATAAAGGTCACTTTTTATCCACTATCATAAAGCCACAATTCTGTATGACCCAGCTTTTGTTTATATCACCATTAGGTATCTACACAACAAGACCTCACTTGATGCTGTTGTCTTAATTCTCGGTGTGTGTGTGTGTTGTGTCTATGTGTGTGTGTGTGTGTGTGTGTGTGTGTGTGTGTGTGTGTGTATGAAATATGTG